TTCCTCCTTCTCTTTTCGTTCTCTTGCCTCACGCTCTCTTCGCTCTTTTGCCTCACGCTCTTTTCGATCGCGTTCGTCACGTTGGCGTCGCTCTTTTTCCTCTTTTTCTTTACGAGCTTTTTCTTCTCTATCTTTACGTTCTCTCTCCTCTCGTTCTTTACGCTCTCGAGCCTCTTGCTCTTTTCTCTTACGTTCCTCCCTTTCCTTTTCCTCTTTTGCCTTTCTCCTCTTTTCCTCCTCTTTTTTTAGTCGTTCTTCTTCCCTTGCCCTTCGTTCCGCCTCTTTGCGAAGACGTTCTTCCTCACGTTTTTTGCGTTCCTCCTCTGCTTTTTTTTCACGTTCTGCACGTAATGCTTGCTCTTCAGCAAGTCTTTCAGCTTCTTTCCTTGCTCTTTCTTCCTCTTTTTGCTGCTTTATGGCCCTAAATAAATGTTCAGATGAAATGCTGAACAATTTACGGTTCATTAAAATATTAATCTAAAAATAGTCAAACCTATTTTTTGCTTTTTTTCTTTCTTTCTCTTTTAATTTTTTTAGTTCACGTTCTTCTTTTAACCGGTTTTCTTCCTCTAACTCTTCCAACAATTTTTGTTGTCGCTCTTGAGCAACCTAATTAATTTGCAAGCCTATTTTAGTAAAAAGTAAAATAAGAAAAACTGTTTATAAAAACATTTCTATACTATACAAACTTTTTCCCGGTAAGCATTTAATACTCGTTGTTCAAACATTCGTGCTGCAAATATCTGGAACATCCGCCGACCTTCCTCCATGCGTTGTTCCTCTGTTTGTGTATCCTACGAACAATTTCTTAAGTATAAATTATGAATAAAAATTATTGCAGTCGAAAACTATTCTTACCTCTTCTCCTTCTTCTTCGTAGTCGTCTTCATATTCTTCTTCATCTTCTTCGTAATCACGTTGTTCAATTGCAGCTTCTTCTTCTCTTTGCATTCGACGTTCAGCAAGTCGTTCCATCATTTCAAGAAATTTCTTTCCATCGTTTTTTAAAAGGTCATCAGCTACAGTTAAAATACCTCCTAATTCAGTAAATGTGTATTAATACTTTTTATATTGATTAAATAATAAATAGATTATATATATATATAAGAATAAAAATCGACCATCGAGAAGATATTTCCTCAAGGACCTTTTGTCTCCTTCTAGGTAGTCATCACGCACCTTTCACGGTCAAACTATTGCCAAAATTAAAAAGTTCTTTCCGAGTATCGCTACCGTGTTCACTGCCTTCATAGTCTTCATCCTCGTCGTCGTCGTCATCATCATACTCATCATCATCGTCTTCTTCATCATATTCAGTAACAGAGTCATTACGATACTCGATAGTTGAAGAACCGAATTGTTGCTGTTGATTAGCATATAATTCTAGTTCTTCATAATAAGCATCATAAAGGGTTTCTAGCTCTTCTTCTATAGCAGTCCTAGATTTAATTCAAAATAATAATAATAATAATAATAATTTTTTAATACATTTATTTTTACATATAATAGTATAAAAATAAATTCCCAAACGACCAGACAATTAAATGAATATTGTGGCTTGTACATAGTATCAATTGAATAAAGCATCAACTTTGATAAAAAAATTTAAATAGTGATTATTCATAAAATTAAATACAGTCATTCTAATGAAATTGTTTAAATAATAAATAGCAATATTTATACCACCAACCTCTTTCGACCACATACGGAACATGAGCATGAATGTTTTTGTTGTTCTTTCATTTTTTTAAGTACGGCTTCTTTTTCAACTTTTACTAAACTTCGTCGTTCTTCTTCGCCTAACTGCAACCAGAATTCTCTTATTCGTTGCCGTTCTTCGTTATTATTGGTATTCCAGATACCGTCTTTACGAGATTTATGATTATGGTTATGATGAGGATGATTGTGAATATCTGCCATTTGGCTAATTGAAAGGCCAGATTTATTCTTCTTCTTTTTCTTCTTTTTCTTCGCAGGCGTAGAAGGAACATTATGATTATCACCATCGATATTAGTGATAGAATCCTTGCGCGGAAATGGTATTTCTGGAGCTTCGGGATCGTATCCTTCATCATCTGAGAAGAATTCTTCATCATCTTCTATATCCACATCAACTGCCTCTTCGCCATCAAAATCGCTAGTGTAAATTGTATGATGAGACTTTGTATGTTGATTATGAGTCCCATTAGCAATATCGTGATCTTCAATATGATCTGAAGGCGGCTTTCTTTTACCCTTCTTCTTTTTTTTCTTTTTTGTGGCGCCGTTACTACTCTGTGGGCTATGAGAAGGAGTAAGCTCACCCGGATCTTTTAAAGGCGGCGAAGTCGGCGACAAAGGCGTTCCGGAAGGTTCCTTTACAATGTTCATACACTTTGTGCCCGACTTATTGTAAATTACAGCCTGCTTTGCATTTATTTGTTGTGGAAAAATAGGTGGAGGATGAGGTAGACTTTCTTCAGGTGGGAAAGAATGTGAGGTCGCCATCATTATTGCCGTTACTTCGGTTTGTGGCGTCCTTTCTCTACTTATAAATTCTGGTATTTATTTACTAGGACTAAAATAAAGAAAAGACTGTGTTAGCTAAGATGGTCAATAACACATTTAGATTTGGTTAAACTCTAAAACCTTAGTGGTAATTTAGGTAAAAATGAGTAACAGGTAGCTCAGGATTACAAAAGTCGAAGCAGTAGTTAAGTATAGAGTCTCGTATATAATCTCAAGGCAGTGATCTCGAGTAGCTCTGCAGGTGGTTTGTAACTTATTATATATATATATTTTTGCACCCAAACCAGCTTACGAAAGAGGCTTGTTAAATCACAGGGACTTTATATATCTTTTTACAATTCATCGACGTTTATCAGTTGGACTAATAATATACACAACGTCATCTAAAAAATTTCGGATGAAACCTTTCTATGTGATAAATATGATTTTGTTACGGGGTGTTAGCATTATAAGTAAAGATATTCATAGAAATTCTACTATAGTGTAAAATTCAGGTTTATACACTCTATTTATAGGTTTACGTGATAAATTGATAATCCCCTGATTTATAGTGATATTTAAATAATACTCGAATAATACTGAATTTTAAAGTCCGCAACAAAATCACACTGAAAACCTTTGAAACAAATTTATTAATTATAAAAATATCGAATACCTCTCGTGTCTCAAATATATATAACTATATTTTTGATTAGAAATTATTAAAGTTATTGGTTCGCCGAACGTTAAGTGAAAATATGAACGTCGTAGACTCTCAATCTTGATGTATTAGTTAAGGATGATAAGATGCTTAGAAAACTTGTACAAAGCCCCATTTGCATATCTAACCTTTTTTTTTTTTTTTTTTTTTTTTTTTTTGACCATGTATCAAATAAACAAATATAACGATAAGGATCATTGGTTTTTTTTTTAACACGTGTTTTGTAAAAAATCGGTTCAATCATTGCGATCTTAAATTTATTCTTAAAACATTTGATATAAACTTTGCAGATTTTATTATTAATAGAAATTTTTTAAATTGAAATAGAATTGTTTATTCAAACAATATTAATAAAATTTTGTTTTTTTTAAAAAAAATTTATGACCTATGGTGTAGTTCCGTATTAAAAGAGCAAGTTTAAAAATGATCTACAAATAAATAGGAATACATATACTATAAAAAAAAAATTAGTATTTAAACTTTAATAGGCAATATTTTATAAATTTTAAAGTTATCTCGATAATTTAAAAGAAACTTTAAGGTTTAGAGTTTTTTTTTTTTTTACTTATAAATTATTAAAATAATTTTAAAATTTATTATTAAGATATTAACTATTAAAGTTTAGATATTAATTTTTTTTACAAAATTAAATTTCTTGGTTTTTATTTTTAATTTTTTATATATTTTTAATTTAAAAATAAATTGTATTATATTATTTTGATTTTTTAATTTATAGCAATTTATTTTATTAAATATAATTATTAAAAATTAAATAAATAAATTTATTATTATTTTTTTCTTTAACAATTATATTATAAATTTTATTAAGTTGTTAACTACAACTATAGCCAAGTTATATATGATTATAAAATATATTTAATTTTCCAAGTTTGATATTACTTAGCTGCTACTAGAATGCTTAGATGTGATCTGTCATACTAGTTATATAGTTAGAACAATTTGTCTAACTAATTCAAAGAAAACTTTACTAACTTATATCATTTTTCTTAATTCTTTTTTTAATTATATTTTTTATTAATATTGTTATCTAATCTTTTTTTTTTCTTTTTTCACTTTTTTTCTTTGCAAGTAACTTCTTATTTTCTTCATCTACTTAGGTTTTTACTTTTAGCTTTTTTTCTTTTCTTTTGTTTATTTTTAGCTTAGTTGTAATTTTTTCTTTCTTTTTTTATAAAACTACTTTTTTGTAATACTAATTCTATATAATTTCAACAAAGCTTCTTTGGGTTATAAAGAAAATACTATTTAATTAGATTTTTATAATATTTTTTTTCTATACTAGCAAATCTATATCTTTAGCTATTTTTTTTTTTTCTAGTTTAATTACTAGCTCTTTGATATCAATTTTTTTATTTTTTAGAAAGATAATTTCTCTAATTTTTAATAACAAATCTAAACTATAATTTTTTATAAATTAAAGCTTGCTAATATCTTCTATTACTGCTTCTTTAATTTGTTTTTATAAGCTTTGTAAAGCTGAATATCTGAATAATAGTTGAAGTCTTCTAAGATTTCTTTTTTGTATAAAATGTAGTAATCATTTTTATAAAGATCTGATCTTTATTTTTTTAGTTCACTAAGTATTAAGAAGCTATTTATCAAGTATTTAATTTGTATAATAAAATATATTTTTTTTAAATTCAGCAATCATGCCAAGACTTTATTTAGTTTTGCTTTCTGTTTGAAAACAACATTATTTAGCTATATACTATCTAATGTTTAATTTTTTAAGTCTTGACTTACTCGGTTATCCTAAAGATACCTATATGTGATCTGCTATAGTAACCTTTGTCCTATACTAAGGTAGCTAAAAAAAATAGACTACAAGCTAATATAGGAAGAACGCTATAGCCTATCATGACTACTTTTACATCTAATTAGTTAAAATTCCCTCCTTTACTTCCCTTGCTATGCTATCTAATGCTATTTTAAGACTAATGTTAAAACTTTCTGTATTCTCATCTAACCTGTAGTTTGTTTTTTTCCTTGATGACTTTTCTTTTAGAATGTTTTTTCCTTTTTTCTTCTGCACGTATTTTTCTTTCTTAGAGATTTTTTCCTTTTTCTTCTAAGTTTCTATATCTTTGCATCAGTTTTTCTAAACTTCCTTATACATTAGTTCTATCTAGATATTCCAGAACAAGCTCTAGAATCTAGTTGTCATGCTTTTAAAGCTTATGATATTTTTGATTTTTTCGGCCTCTTCTTCACATAGTATACCTCTTAACTACTCTTTTCTTCTTTGTTGCTTCATTTTTTGATCACATTAGATTGCTTGAGCTATACTCCTTAAATCTCAATTTTTTTCTTTTCTTTTATCATCGTCAAGCCATTTCCATACTTCATCTTCGATTTTTTCAAGTACTTGATAGGCTTTCTCACAAGTGACTAAGTGCTCAATCGATTCTTTTTCCCTTAAGCATCTTTTGCATAGGTTATCTTTGTACAATTTCAGCTTCCTAAGGTTTAGTATTTCTACTATTGGTAGAAGGTTTTCGATGTATTTGATTTTGAACAAATGCAAGTAGTTTACTTCAGTGTTTTGGTATTGTTTGTTACAGCTTTCAAGTATACCCTTGAAAGCTTTCTAATCCTGTTTCTGAATTCTTGTTTGGTGTTCTGTATCATTTTTCTTCTTAGCTAAGTCTATTCTGCCTTGTACGTTGCTTAAACTATCTTTTTAACAAAAGCTCTTAGTAGGGTTTCTAAACTAAGCTTCTTCCATTCAGAGATAAACTTTACGTTACTGTTGCTGATATTGTTTAGCTCTATACAGTTTGCTTCATATATTCCTTCTTTTGTGAGTGAGTCTGCAAAGTTATTATATGTATCATCTGAATGGCTTTTGACCTTTGTTAGTATTAGCTGAACTAATTTACTTTTGCAAACTTTCTTAATTGCACGCAGAATGTTGTTATTTTTGTACTTTAACCACTCACATATCTTCTTATTCTTAAGGCACTTCTCGATTGCAAAGATTGCACAAGTGCTATCTGTTTTTATTTCTACTTTGTATTTATCAGAAACTAACAAAACTGCTACTAAACAAGCTACAAGCTCCACACACGTAGATGAGAACCAATTTTCTATCCTTCCCTTATAACTAAAAACTATACTATTTGTACTATCTATTTGAACTACACTAAATCTTATTCTTATTTTATTTCTGGTATCTTCACTGAGTGAGCCATTAGTATAAAAGACTAATTCTTTTTCTTTTCTATTTGCTTCTAGTCTCTCCTTTAGTTCTGCTCTAATTCTTGTGTTCTGAATAAACTGATTAATTAGCTCTGCTTCCTAGCTGCTTTCTACTTCGACTCGCTCAAGATTCTTGACTTTCTTAACTTCCTCTGCTTTGCTTTTTTGAGTCTCTTTTCTTATTCTTCCTAG